GACAGGAGCTGCGCGTGCATTCAGCCAGTCCATAGGAAAGCATTCACAATGCTTTCCTACGGACGCTGGCGTCTTCTCACTGTGATTTTCACAGTGAGAAGCACGCATGTGCCTCTAGCGGCTGTCAAGAGACAGACACTGGAGGCTGGATTAACCCTAACATAAACATAGCAGTTTCTGAAGTGGTCTGGGTGCCTATAGTGGTCCTTTAACATTCAGGAAATTAAGCCCCTTAAAAAAGTTAAAAAGTCAGGTATGTAAAGAAGTAAACCAAAAACAAACCCATACCAGATACACTTTAAGACATTTTAAATTCCATATTTGGGAGGGGAGAATCTTTCTCTTCTTCTAAAAGCATTAAGCAAGATGTATCTGATTGTAATTTGAAAAGTAGCGCAAAGTTGTAAAAGTGGAGCAATCGCCATGGAAACCTGATGAAATCTCCTCTGCTGATTAATGGTGTGAAGTTCTAAGTGAGCCAATCAGCAGAAGCATTACTTTAGTTTCTATGACAACTGCTTCATTTGTTTACTTTGCGCCAGAATTTCTCTTTATACATGTTGCCCTTAACTGCTAAGCTGTCTGTGGCCATTCATGTGTAAAGTGATTTTGCTTCACATCTGAAAATATTACAATGTGTAACCAGTAGCTGCAGGTAGCGTATTCTTTGTCTGTACACTGCATGTGCTCTCCTCTACCTTCCTGTATTGTAAAAATAGACATTAGCTGTATTATTTACCAACTTTTGATGTGTTTCAGCGCAAGCTCAGGACAGAACTTCACCTCGGACTTAGATTCTAATGATGCAGCCAGCACATCTGGATCCGCTTCCACCAGCCTGTCTTATGAATCAAGGTATGTAACGTGCAGCTGTGCTGTGCCTGATTCATTGTTAAACACGTCACTTGTTTCAAAGTCAGTGGGGTCTTTGTCTTTTTTTTTTTTTCTTCTATTTTTATTAAACACTCAGGTACCATAAACACTACAGCTGACTGTAGCAGTTATGGGGAAAGGGTCTTTTAGGGATTTCCCCCTATTTTATTTTAAGCTCCCCCTGTGCACTCGCAGCCTGTTGTTACTGTTCAGTTTAAAAGGATACTGTGGAAGTGAAGTGTTATCTGAATAGCAGTCAAGAGGCTTGGTTATGTGTTCTGGGAGACACCCATTTTTCATCAGTCCCATTAAAAATAATTTGACAAAGAAAACAGAGTCAGTATTTGGAGGCTCCCTGCTCTCTTTAAATAAAATGAATAAATATTTTTTTCTATAAGCCCACTCTTTCTTCCTCCACCCAAGAGGCAGTGTTTCCCTATTTGAACCAATAATATAGATATATTTGATAACTTGAGCGACTGCACAGTGTGGGTTTCTGTGGATCCTAATTCTGCAGATTAAGCTGACTGCTGACCTTAAACTCACGGAAACCTCCAGCTCTGTTGCTGGGGTTTAGAAGGTGCGCTTAGCACTTCCATAGAAAGCATAGAGTGACATGATTGGCTGAGCAACTTCCTGGTCTGCTGAGCTCTAACTGCAGACACAGTGTATGCCATGATGTTAATATTATTGGTTCTCAATTACAGGGGTAATGTTGGTAGCCGGAAGAGAAAGTTGGCCACCAAAATGTACTCCTCTGTGGAGTCCAAGAAACGAGCCTTGGAGCACACGGAGAGGCAGAACAGCTGTGTGACCGAATCCCTAGAATATCCCAGGACCTCTGATTTTCAAGATAATGGTGTCGACAGCCACACCTTTGAAAGCATCAGTGAAGATGACACGTGCCTCTCCCACTTGAAATCTTCCATCACCAGTTATTTTGGAGCGGCTGGGAGGTTGGCATGCGGCGAAAAATATCAGGTGTTGGCCCGCAGGATAACGCCCGAGGGCAAAGTTCAGTATTTGGTCGAGTGGGAAGGAACCACTCCTTATTGACCCAAACATGTATTAAGTTAGGACCAATCATAAAAAAAACACACAAAAAAAAACCAAAGGATTTTTTTTTTTTCTAAAAGAAAAAAAAAAGAAAAAATGTTTTTGAGCAGAGCTCCAGAATTGTGTGCAGTATATATTCCCAAAGAGAGGGGAAAAAACTGTAATCTGTAGGTTGTATTGTAGGCATGGAGAAAAGGGTATGTAGGCGTTGCTGAGATATACACACTTACTAATATGACACCTACGACTGCTGACAAGGAAAGCACTTAAAACAGGGTACAAACATGGACTTGCTATACTGGTACCTTTTTAACCAACAAACCGCTGGAACTGACTTTTAAAAATGTTTTTATTAAATGCCACAAAGGTATTTTTACACAAGCAGTTTGGGGATGTGCCACAAGGCTAGATTATCATATATTTGCCCCAGAAGGTTTGGATGTAGTGACTTTTTGCATTTGCATCCCTGCAACCATACGGTTACTGCAAAATTTATTTTCAATATTTAGTCCAACAAATTTCTAGGTCATTTATAGAGCTAAACATATTTTTTATAAAAGCTGCAAAAATTTATAGAATGTATTTAAAATTCTAAATCTAGAGCATAGGTCTGTGGCCAGGATCATGTAACCTGCACTGCCATAATTTTATAGACGTGTGCCGAATGTTTTGTTACGGTCTGTGTCCAAGAAGGATTTTTTTTTTTTTTTTTTAAATATGATATGATTACTTTATCATAAAGGATGTTTCGTATTAACAAAATCAGTTAATTAAATATAATTGCCAGCTAAATTTGACTCAAATGCAGATGTAAAAAATAATGAGTCCTCGAATACCAGTGTTCTAGTGGTAACTTGATATATGGAAATAGTGAATGTTTGTGATTTGTATGTTCAGCTGGCTCAATGGCCACCAAAAAGAATATAAAATTGCAGGTAGTAAAACTGCAAACAAGGATGGACAATCATTGCTGCATTAAGGAGTAAATGGCTACACTTGGTGCACCTGGCTCATTTAATGGATCACTTTAGGGTCAGTAGCACAAACTTGTATTCCTGACTCTATAGTGCAAAACCCACCATTTAGGGGTCTTGCCTCCCACTCCCCCTTAGCCCCTTTAAAAGTTATAAAAAAACTCACCTTATTTCCAGCACCACACGGCCCCGTCCCCTTGATGACATCATCAGAATTGTCAATTTTCAGCCAATCCAATGCTTTCCCACTGAGAAATCATTGGATTCGCTAAAATCAGCAAGGGGGCTTGGCCATTTTGGCTGATCAGCACCTCCTCATAGAGATGCATTAACTCAATGCATCTCTATGAGGAAAATTAAACGTCCCCATGCAGAGCGTGGGGACACTGAATGGCAGGGCTGCCTACTGTGCAGCCCTAAGCCAGGACGCACCTCCAGCAGCCATCTAAGGAGTGGCCACTTGGAGGTGTCCCTAGGGGCAATGTAACCACTGCCTTTTCTCTGAAAAGACAGTGCTTGCATAAAAATGCCTGGAGGCAGTGATTATACTCACCAGAAGAACTACATTAAGCCGTAGTTGTTCTGGTGAGTATAGTGTCCCTTTAAGGTACATTTTGAAAAACAGTTGTGTAGTACACTAACATGGTTATTTACTAACGTGAGAATTAAAAGTTAAGTTCACATTTTAAGGCCAGAGTATCTGTACTGAAAGCATAGCTGACTTTTTTCAGATTGCCAATTTTGATCTCACATTTAAAATTCATGTTGAATTCCCATTTTATGAAATAGCCTTGTACAATGGGGAAGTCAAGGCCACCTTTGCTTATAGTCAGTTGGCTTCAGTCTGTAATGAATGTGATAAACTCATGGCAGTGTCAGGTGGGATCCCGTAACTGAATCTATACTTGGAACATCGCCTTTGGGAAATCTATTAACCTCTATTGTCACATGTGCAACTGCGAGTTTCTTCCCCATTAAAGATTCAAATTCCCATTAAAATGAAAAGGCCACATTTAAGAGTAAACTAGAACCATGAATTTATCATTTACACCCAGCTCTGTTCAACCCCCGTTAACCCTGAATTCTATGTAGAAGATTCTAGTTCCGTGCATCCTAAACCAATCCTCACGGTCGATCAACAATCTTGGGTTTTTAAAAGGGAAATACATATATCCTAGACTGTTGTTTTGGAACTACTGGTCTAGATGGAAAAATTATAATTTTTATAAGTAGTCTTGGTAAACTCATCTACAGCCTCCATGGGCTGATCACAGCAAGTCAGCCTTGGGATGGGTATAGAAGTATCTTCATAAATAGATTATCCTAAAGTTATGATGGTTCAGTAGAAAAAAACAAAACGGTGTGATTCCTATGAGGTCCAGTGTGTAGCTTTTTGCTTTTGATGAGCAAAATTGAGAGTTCACATCATAATTGCACAGTACAGCATCTGCTTACCTGTGTTCGGGCATCATTTGGGAACATGTTAGCTGAAGGCAGCCCTATTGCTGATCTGCGAAGAGCCACAGTAATGGAGAAATTATCTTGGAATCTATTACAGTGTGAACCATTGACCTTGATATAGGGTGGCTTATGCCTGTGCCTGTTTGCACCACTAGCTAATTCCTTCAAATATCAAATTCTTAAATCTAGTTATGCATCCTCCTCAAGCTTGTGCTTCTAGTGTCTTCCACCACACTGACAACAGAGGATTATGGGAATTGTAGTAAATGTCAATATTACCTGTGCGCCAAAAGTTCGATATTTCTGCAGTCACATTTGTGTTTGAATATCGGCTTAGTTTGTCTGAATTGTATCCCTTTAAATACAGGGAAACAGAATATGGATAAGAATACCAGATTTTATGATAATTAGATCATATTCCTATTAATCTTATGAAATTAATACTTTAAGTCACACATCCTGCAAAGCACTTAGTAAATAGCGATCTATGCCTGTTTGTGCACAGCCTCTCCTGTACAAACTGACATTTATTTTTTGATTGACAGTTGTCTGATTGAAAGGTTGTTTTTTATTTTTTTAATCAATTATTCACTGAATTGTGAATTATTTTTTAATCAGAAATTCACTTCTCAGAACAGCAGAAGAAAAATATTTTATTTAAAAAAAAAAAAAAAAATCTTTATAAAAGAGCCCTTTAACTGCAAAAATACATTTTCTTGATAAAACAAACAGTTGTTTTTAAGCACTCCATGGAATGTTTAGTTACAAACGATTATCTGGTTTTTTTTTTTTGTCAGCTGATCAGAGGGGGGAAAAAATGCTTTTTTTTTTCTGTTTCAAAATGAACAGCGTAGAGTTTTTTTTTTTTTGTATTTTCTTTTCTGCTATTTTTTCCATTGTGGTGTTTTGTGATGGAATTTTTTAAAAAATCCCTCTCAATTCTCCACAGTTTCCATTTTACAGGGTTATAATCGATCATTCAAAGTGAATTTCCAACTTAAGGCCAAACTAGATAGTATCTAAGTCTCTAAGCTAGTTATACTTCCACTTCGGCTACTCTAGCATTAGATTTGAAATTTACTTTGGATTCTGACTCTAGTAAATACTGCTGTAAGTGATTAACCCTGTAAGTAAAGATTCCCTGGCTGATTTAAAGTTAAAAATTATAGTATTGGTTTAGAAGAAAAAATGTCTGTAACTTAAAACAAGTAATTTAAGTATTATTCTAAATAATGCCAAACTAAAAAAATATATATAAAAAAATAAAGGGAGAAGAGAAATTTATATTATTAAGCAAATGTTTCATTTTGTAAAATTTTAATGGCTATTAAGAATGTACAAAAAGTAAATGTATCTTGTTGAACTTTTTATTTGTATTAAGTGTAGCAATGTCATGGCAAAGGAAGTGCAATTTCTTTCCGTCAAAGCCTTTTCAGAGTAATAGTCAGAAAAACACCCTCTAGTGGTTAGCAGTGAGTAGAGCACCTTAGTACATTCTATGTTTTTATAACACACTAGCCTAGGCATAGGCAACCTTCGGCACTCCATATGTTTTGGACTACACCTCCAATGATGCTTTGCCAGCATTATGGATGTAAGAGCATTATGGGGGATTTAGTCCACAACATCCGGAGTACCGAATGGTTCATATAGCTTTCAGGGGTTTTTATCAAAGCGAGAATTCAAAGTGGATTTCAAAGTGAAGGCCAGAGTAGCCAAGCTGAATGCCTGGATTATATAGCTACGTAACTGACAGATTTTTCTATCTTGACCTTAAATTTGAAAATTCACTTTGAATTCTCACAGTATTGAATAACCCTATCTTTTTAAGTGATCTGTGGTCAGTAACTGTTTAGGGCTGGTAGCAGTGAGGCTTTTTACACAATTCATTCAATCACATAAAAGCCACTTATTCTTACATTGCGTGACACTGCTCCCATGTTCTATACATGTCTAATGATTCTTTACATCAGTTTCCTTTCCAATCCAAATGTGATTCTAAAACCATAGCGAAAATGTAAGATAAGAGAGTTTCATCATTAAACAGTGCATTGCGGTGAATTTAAAACTGGATTTCAAAGCTAGCCGGGTTATTCAGTAAAGTTATAATTGTCAGGAATTCAAAGTGAAAAGCAATTAAAGCCAAAATTCAAAAATTCTCCCAAGTGCTTCCTTTTCAGCGGTTTTGGCTTTAAATTTCCAAGCCAGTTTTGTAAATGGGGGGTCACCAACAAGCTAAGAGCGTCAGCTGGCTCCTCTTAGTCTATCAGCGACACCCCTGTCCGGTGGCACTCCACGCTTCCTGAAAGTTACATTTCAGAATGCTGCTGGGGGGAGCGGAGTTCAGCGCTGGAGGCACCTTTGGGATTAAACCGTTCGAGAACGTTTAACCCCTTGAGTTAAGAGTGTGCCAGACCTCCTGGCACCATTTTTCCTTTATGTGAAAAGTTAATTTAAATTTTGAGGGTTGTGTTTTGGGGTTTTGCTTCCCTTTTGAAAATATTCCCCAATAAACCAGCAAATTACCAATGCCCTTATTTTTATATTCCATGTTAACAAATTTTGGTACATATCAATGGAACAATTCTATTGTCTCCTAGTTCTACCAATGGAATTAAATCTTATGTTGGAGTGAAAAAAAAAAAAAAACCAAAGACTTGCACAGCCCCAAACACCCCTAAACCCCAAAAAGTCGATTCAAGGTGTAATACACATACTCTACTCAAGGGGCGTTAAAAAGCCAATATCAAATAAATTTAGGATAATGTTATACTGTAGGTAATCCACTAGGGGTAGCAGCCCTATAAGTAGGTTATACCTCTAACCTACCATGCAGGTACAATGTAAAATAAAAGGGAAGGACTGTGCAAAATATAAAACAATATTATCTCTTGCAAACAATAATACCCCCAAATTTTATGTCAAAACTTTATCAGTACTAATGATGTATCTTTCATTGTAGACTTTAAAGGGACACTGTAGTCACTATAACCATTTCATCTCTTTGAATTGGTTATAGTGCCTGGAGTGCCCTGGCACTGTCCCTCCATTCAGTGTTGCGCCAAGTTCGTGCAGTAGGCCACAAAATAAGAGTCCCTGGCCACCCACAGTCCGGCCCCTTCTGTATGTGTAGCTAAGGAAGAGATTGCACACTTCCTTGTTGTCTTACCCATTCATACCGTCAGGTGGAGCTCTGATAGGCTAAAAGCAGTCAGCTGACACTCTCAGCCAATCACAGCTGCCCATTGCTGCTCAGGCTAATACTTCCTTATTATCCAAAGCAGCACAGAGGGGATGGACTGCCAGGGACTCTTGTTTAGCATTAAAACATTAAAAACTGTTTAATGCTGAAAGAACTGATGGTACCAGGGGACTCCAGACACTATAACCAGTTTAATGAGATGACGCAGCTACAGTGCCTACGGTGTCCCTTTAATCCACTTCGCTGTGTGCCCAAAAGGATTCACTTTTGAACCAATGGAATTGGTGTTTTTACTTGCTCCAAACATACACCATAACTCAAGACCCTTTAATAAGGGATGATGATTTGCTAGTCTTTTAAATGGCAGTTACAGAAGGCAAATTTTCTAGTACGGCTATACATATGACATTGTAAGATATATATATATATATTTTATATATGAATATATATTTACTAAATATATATATAAACAAACCTGTGTACATATAAGCATAGATCTAAATTTAAACACCCAAGCATATATATTTTTTGTATAAGGAAGGCTGTTCTGAAAATAATGTCATACCTGAGTTTATAATCCTTAGTTAGTATTCTTGTTTTAAACGATATAAACTTGTGTTTACTTTACAAACTTACATTACGTTCTATCGGTAATGATTGTATTTTTCGTGATAGTTCGGATTATAATGCTGCTATTAATAAAACTGTATCTATTAATCCCCCTCCCCCCTTTTTGGACTCAGAATTGCTTCATGTACAAAATGTAGGTAGGATTCTGACTGTAAGTAATTCTTCTTGAGGAGGTGAGTGCATGTATGATATATCGACAATCATTGCAAGATTATATTGTATATTATAGCATACTATGCACCTAAAAGCTATGCCTGCAACAAATCACATTTCAATCATTAAAGGAACACAAACATGTATTTCTGACCCTATTGTGTTAAAATCACCAACTAGCCCCCCTGGCCACCCCTTACCCTCCCTAAATATAGTAAAATCTTACTTGTATTCAAATCTGTAGCTGCTGACTCTGCCTGTGAACTAACTCTGTCTGCTGACATCATCAGAAATGGTGGTCTGAGCCAATCACAATGCTTCCCCATAGGATTGGTTGAGACTGTCAAGGATGCAGGTCAGGGGCACAGCCAGCACAGGTCAAACATAGCCCTGGCCAATCAGCATCTCCTCATAGAGATGAATTTAATCAACACATCTCTATGAGTAAAGAGCAGCGTCTACATGCAGAGGGTGGAGACACTGAATGGCAATGCTGCACACTAGGCAGGACTGCCCCAGGAAGCACCTTTAGTAGCCATATGAGCAGTGGCCAGTGGAGTTATCACTAGGCTGTAATGTAAACACTGCATTTTCTCTGAAAAGACAGTGTTTACAGCAAAAAGCCTGAAGGTAATGATTCTTCTCACCAGAACAAATACATTAAGCTGTAGTTGTTCTGGTGACTATAGTGTCCCTTTAATGTTTAAACCCGCTTTAGCCTATACTGTCTGCTAGATGATCCACTCAAGGGCAGTTTTTGTTCAAAAGAAATGTTTGATGTTAGCCTATCATGCCAGCAGCCAATCAGAATTTGGGATATCCTGAGCTGAAATAATTCATTTCAAGTATATGTTCGTTTGAAAAGGTCAAAAAAGAAAAACAATCACATGAAATCCAGATTAGCTGGCTATACTTACTTTATCCAAATTTTAAAATTATTAACTAAAGGTATAGGTTATTCTTAAAGGGGCGCATGACTTTGTAAACTTTTTGCAGATATGTTTTAACTTTGAGCCCATTTCTCCTGTGACACTTTCTGCATTGATGGATCATAACAAATGCTTTCTATAGTTTACTTTTATTTTATTAATATGCCCATTGGCAAAATTCAATCAGTTGTTTGAATTTAGAGATAGGTGTCCTTAAATGTGCCATGGACACATTTTATATATCTGTAAGCTTAGTCGGCTACACATTACAAAGTTGTTCTGTTTCTCAAAAACAGAATAGCTTTGTAATGTGTAGCCGACTTTTTTTTTTATTTTTTAGCAGGACAAATATTTAAGATGAACTTTTCTCTACCTTGGGATCAGTGCCTGCTTGGTATTAAACTGATGCCTTCAGGAATGATAGAAGATTCAATCAATCTAAGAAGCATATTAGAAGCAGATTTGCATATCTACAACCACGTCTATCAATTTAAAACAGTGTGTCTTTGGTCATGCTCAACATAGCAGTAATCTTGGTAATTATGAATGTAGAAGGGGATTTTCTTTTTAAACCATAATGAAATGTCAAGTTATTTTAAGAATAAACCTGACTTCGAACAAGTCATTCTAGAAAATGGTTTTCAAACTAGTAAACAGGACAAAAATAATCAGCTTCATATAATGATGACAGATGTCCTAAAACCTTTTTAGAACTGTTTAAGATAAGAGAACTGATTTTACAACACTATTGGCATTTATTTATTAAACCAGGAGTTATCAAACCCAATTTTTGGTTTGCAGTTCCCTTGCCATTCATCAACAATTCCTAGTTTTGTAAATAACGTTTTGGTTTTTTTTCATAGTCAGCTGCAAAATGTCCATTAGTGGCATCGGTTTCTCTTAGTGGTCAAGTACCAATGTTCCCTTATTGGTCATTTATAGAATTTGGGTTCTTGCATACTTCTTGGGAACATACATTGCACTAATGGACACGAGAAAGAAGTTGTACATTTTATAACTGAAATGGTCTGCAAGACTCTGTCATTTTGAATGTAAAAATATAAGCAGTTTAATTTTTAGAGAGTGAACAAAGAGTGGAAGAGTTAGACCCATAATGATCCATAAGGAAATAAAATAGCTGATTTTGAGTATTTGTTCAGTTCTGCTATTTCTGCGAATATTTGAGACTCCCTTATCTGTTTACAAAAGTTCCCAAGCTGGTGTATAATATAGTCAGAGATTGTTTTCCAAATATTATACTTTGCCTAAGTTTTTTTTCTTGTTTTGTTCTCTACTCTTCCCACACACAAAACGCGGTTCAGAAGACAAAATTGAACTGCTGTTTCTATCCAGGCGCTACTGAATTCAGTTGCTGAGTTCAGCAGTCTTTCAATCTAATGTGCCCGATGTTTTGTATTCTGGGCAAAGTTGTGACAATGAAGCAGTTACCATGGAAACTCACATTTTTAAAACTTTTTTGAATTTAAATCTTAATGCTGACTTGCCTTTGTCACATATTTCAGTAGATTATTCTTTAATCCTCATAACCCTAAGAGTTATGTAAATGTTGCTGTATCAGGTCAGCCCAGGTTGTGGAGGCCTTCATACAGACTATTTTATTTCTTATAAAGGGGCACTCTAAGCACTATAACCACTAAGCAGAGAATTCTACTGTCACCATCCCCAGGTTCTGTGTCAAACCATTTCTTGCAGCCCATCAAAAACCAAGCCTTCCGCATGCACCCACAGTCCAGCTTCCTACTTAGTAGCCGCTCTGCATATCAGTTTTGTCCGTATCTGAACAGCATTCATTGTCTGGGCACATCACCTGTAACACTCCAGGCCAATGGATGCCTTCTAGACTTGGACGACATTGCCAGTGCTAACCTAAAACGTATGCAAAAGCAATATGTTTAATGTGGCGCTTGGACTTCGGGTACTGGGGAGACCACCAGGAGAGCTCAGTGGTATAGTGCTTAGTGCCCCTTTACTATGGGTTTTTAAACATGTTCACCGAATTCCACCAATGATCTACCTGTATATTTTGGGACAAATTGCAACTGCAGCTTGAATCTACTGTGGATTTGATTACCACATATTCTCGCTCATTGTGTTATTTACTTAAGTGTGATTTGTCTGGAATTGTAAGCTAAGCTCAAATTATTGCGAAAAAAAGTGTCAAATTGAAAGCTTAGCTGATTTTGAGACATTTACTTGCAATTTGGCTGTTTTGACCTAAAATGTGAAATTGATTCTGAATTCTCAATTATTTGCACTTTGAGTGCAGTCAGCTAAACTCTAAAACTGGCATTAGATTGTGGATGTTTTTAACTTCCAGGATAACAGAGGGATAGTTCTAGATTAACATGCAATTCTCTCTCTTTTAAATTGAGCCCAAACAAAGTTACCCATAGGGGCAGTGTCTCAATCAAACCGTTACCTTATCCCTTACCATTCCAAGCAGGTCTGAATGAGACCTTTAAACTTTGTCTCCTAGAAAGATTGTTATGATAATCTATGTTTTGTGTTTTAATTTGCTGCTTTTCATTAGGGCTCCTTCATCTTCTCTGACATATATACTGTGTATTTCTGACAAAGTATAATTTTATGCTCTGTTGTATTTTTTTTCATATTGTCAATCCCCATTTTTTATTGTGTCGGGTTTCTTGTGTTTATTTTTGTGTAATAAAATCACACTGTGAAAATCAGTATCGAATTTAACATTTCCCACAAGTTGAACACCAAAAACAGAAAAATAATAAATTATTGGGAGACAATGTATCGTTTCTGTTGTGTTGTTTCTTGTTTTGTTTTTTATGTCTGTGTGTGTAATCAGATCAAGCAGAGGAGAAAGGGATTTCTGATTCTCAAACCTCAGGGCTAAATTTTTCTGACTATGACCAAATTGTTAAATGGCAGTTCATGGAGAAAAATCTTAAAATCTGCTACTTACTAATGGCATGTTAGATGCAGGATGCCCAATGCAACTTGGACAACCTACTGGGGTCTGTTAAAGTTGGGCACTCCATGAAAATTAGCCTTCTTGGTATTATAAGTGTAGTAAGTCTATTCTTTATTTAAGGGACAACTTCTAAATGTAGTTGTTATGGTGCCAGGATGTCCCTGGAGGCACTATTGCCTCGAGGGGTTAAACTGTCGAACCGTTTTAACGCCAAAGTTGCTTCCAGTGACCATATTCACTCCTCCCCAAGCAGCATCCGGCGTCTGAATTTTCAGATTCAGGAAGTGTGAAGGGCCACCCGGCAGGGGTGCTGCTGTTTAACCCCTTGAATTAAATGTTTCTCCAGGGGCCTCCTGGCACCATAACAACTTCATTAAGATGAAGTTGGTTTTGTGTCTGGAGGGTCCCTTTAAGTGCCAACTTGTTCCTGGCTCCTAAAACCTTACTTGAGCTGATAGTCAAAATACAGTGATAACAAAGAGAATTGGTACCTTGAACCCCTGCTGAACATCTTTAGGGTTATTTAATAATGTGATGTGAATTTCAAATGTAAAGCCAAAATAGCCGACTGAAAGATTTTTACACTTCAATAAAATAAAGAGGAATTTTTCGTAGTCATTGAATGGTGAATTGCATTACCAGATACTCTATGAAAATACTGAAACAGGAGTTTGGATGACATTCTTTGGTTCGATTTATTTAGTTATTGTGTTACTTAAAAATTAGAGGAATAGATAAAACGGCATCAGCGTGTGATTTCATTGAGCTGCAACGGCAGATACGTTTGTAGCCAAGAGAGTTACATCGCTGAAAATGAAGGTAAGGCACGTTCAGCATTTAGGTAAAACATGAAAGTAATTGTCCCTCTTATAGACAGTTTTACTAATAGCCGATGGCCTGCGTGGCTTTTATGTAAGACTTATTTGGTCACTGATGGCAACTGCTGTGATGAGTGGAATTTGGATAATTTATTTGTTGCCAGCTGAGTTAACCTATTGAGGTTGTTAGCATATCAATGATCATGACTATCTTAAAGGGACACTATTCACCAGAACAACTACAGCTTATTGTATTTATTCTGGTGAGTATAATCATTCCCTTCAGGCTTTTTGTAGTAAACATTGTCTTTTCAGAGAAAATGCAGTGTTTACATTACAGCCTAGGACCGTGATGGCGAACCTAGGACATGCGTGTCAAAGGTGAAACGCATTGTTTACGGACGGTCATCGCCCAAGAACGGTTCACACGCGATGCACTTACTTTGTACGTGCTCCGGTCGCTTCTTGCTTGCGTGTACTTGCGTGTCACGGCAACGCTAGGGTGAACCCTGGGTTATAGCGCAGCGCGAACTTCTCCAACACTCCTTCCGCGAATCCGCCCTGAGCCCAGAACACTGATCCTGCTGGAGAACTGTAAGTAAGTTTAGCAATACTCACACAAGTTTAATGGGACAAAGACAGAGCTCTTCTCTACTCCCCAGACTGCTGTTTCTTAAAGACACACTTCATTCTACTGACATTAAACCAACCCTGCATCAGCAAATTATGCATTTTCTCATTAAAAGATAAAAGCTTCGCTGATGTGAAAAAAATATCGCTATATTAACACGTTTTATGCCAAAAGGCAGTGCAGAGAATGCTTTCTCCTTAGATTCCTGAAAATAATGTGAAATCTCTCCACCACCAAGAAAACTTTGTAATTGTAGTACATATGAAACCATTTTTAAAGAGACACTGCAAACCAATAAAAATAATGTACACATCGTACTAGCAGAATTATTAGTCAAGGTTTGTCTTGAAAAAAATCTATTTATAAATATACCCCATACCATTCCCTGTCAATCAATCAGTTGGTTGTATGCTGGCAACTGACTAACAGAAGAGACCAGGAGAACCGTGCCATAGGCAGTTTGCATTTTGTTGCAAACTTGCCTCATGCTTGCTGGGGTAACATAGGACAGATACAGCTACAAAAAAAATGATGGGTATTTCTAGATGTGACACAACACCAGAGTTACGTTTTTTGTTTTTTTTTAAATGAATTTTGACACACCAAGCACAAAACTTTCGCCATCACTGACCTATCTCCACTGGCCACTCCTCAGATGGCTGCCAGAGGTGCTTCCTGGGGCAGTGCTGCACAACGTGACTCACTCTGTATGGAGACACTGAACTTTCCGCATAGAGATGTATTGATTCAATGTATCTCTATGAGGAGATGCTGATTGGCCTGTTAACGTTGTCCTTGCCAATTTATATAAAGTGGTTTGCAAAAAATATGTTACACCCTGTTATATATAAGGAAACAGAGCTGTAAATAAATAGAATAGACTCTTTCCCCCACATAGTCTATAACCCGTCTCACATATATTATCCAATATGCACTCAGTTATGCATAGATACATAACATTGTACACATGCACACCTTTCACGTATTCATTCTTATTCAGTTCTTTCCCTAACACAAATATTTGCATTTCTACCACTCCATGCCCTCTCTGTCATAGCCCCATCTACCACTCCATGCCCTCTCTATCATAGCCCCATCTACCACTCCATGCCCTCTCTATCATAGCCCCCTCTACCACTCTATTCCCTCTCTGTCATAGCCCCATCTACCACTCCATGCCCTCTCTATCATACCCCCATCTACCACTCTATGCCCTCTCTATCATAGCCCCATCTACCACTCCATGCCCTCTCTATCATACCCACATCTACCACTCCATGCCCTCTCTATCATACCCCATCTACCACTCATGCCCTCCTATCATAGCCCCATCTACCACTCCATGCCCTCTCTATCATACCCCATCTACCACTCCATGCCCTCTCTATCATACCCACATCTACCACTCCATGCCTCTCTATCAGCCCCTCTACCACTCCATTCCCTCTCTGTCATAGCCCCATCTACCACTCCATGCCCTCTCTATCATACCCACATCTACCACTCCATGCCCTCTCTATCATAGCCCCCTCTACCACTCCATTCCCTCTCTGTCATAGCCCCTTCTACCACTCCATGCCCTCTCTATCATACTCCCGTCTACCACTCCATGCCCTATCATAGCCCCCTCTACCACTCCATGCCCTGTCTGTCATACCCTCTTCTACCACTCCAAGCCCTTTCTGTAATGCCCACTTCTACCACTCCATGCCCTCTCTATCTTAGCCCCTTCTACCACTCCATGCCCTGTCTGTCATACCCTCTTCTACCACTCCAAGCCCTTTCTGTCATACACCCTTCTACCACTCCATGCACTGTCTGTCATTCCTCCTTCTACCACTCCATGCACTGTCTGTCATTCCTCCTTCTACCACTCCATGCCCTCATTATCATAGCCAGTGGAAATTAAGATACACTGGAGCAAAGGCTTCACATACAAAGAAGAATTGTTATTAGGCAAAGGTCTACAAATTGGCAAAGACAATTCTACTACTGGCCAATCTGATGAAAACGACTGAGTTAAATAATAAAGGTGCAAAGAAATTAATTAAAAATAGGAACCCGAATTTTCAGTTTGTACAAAGTCAAATTTACTATCTCAGTAAACACATCTTATACACTGAAGTGTCAGTTGTTGTCAATTCAAGACCAAAAAATACCTAGAGCTTGAGTCCCCCTAAAAACACTTGATTCCTCCACAAGCTCAACCCTTTGCCCTCCAAGGCTCCATCTCATGACCCATTTAACACCACCCGTACTAGTCCCCGCTTAACCAGAAACACTTTGTCCTTACTATAAAACAAATGTTTCTGAGCAACACAGAGGGACTGTACAAGCGACATTAGAGATGTAGAACTGGTGTATAAGACATGCTCAATTTGCTCTGAAAAGAGTCCTCCTAGCACCAGACATGTCATTGATTATTGACTAGTGAAAATCAATATTAGTTGTTGCACGTGGTTTAATGCTGGAGTCTCTGTCATAATTCTATTACCAGCAAATTTCCAATGTACGTTTGATTGTGAATAAATATTACTAGTTCTTAGCTTATACTTAGAAATTTCAGTGGCGGTCCACTAAATAACAGATTGGCCATCTGCCCAGTTCTGTTGGTCATTTTGAAAATGGTCAGAATGGCTTTATCCTTTCTTGTGCCCCCAATCACAGCGATAGGTCCTAGTGATCTGCTAATTTCTTCACAGCTTCATTAATCCATCCTTTCAATATGACAACAAACTCTGTAGACTTGAAAGGTCTAGTCGCCATCCGAACGCTCCATCACCAGACCTCCATACACCATGAAAGTAGTCTTCAATTCGTATAAAACCATTATCGTTTAATAGAGGTCCACACACACCATTGTCCAAGTTCTGCCACTAGGACTTGTTCTCCACCGCTTCTTCAATGGACTTTAAATAACCTGGGTTTCCTCGCTCTATGGGAATGCTGATAAAATCAGGGATTTCAAAGGGATGGACCAGGCTAAAATGACAAGACCCAAAATCTATCATTTTTATATGTAACCTATATATAATCTATACTGTCTTGCTATATTTAATTAGGCACATGTAGGCTACATAAATAGAAAACATGCAGAAATGTACCTTATAACTGTATATTCACTAAAGGATCTTAATGCGGCAGAACTTATTTTTTTAAAATTTTTGTTTCCACTAATGCAACCGGTGATCCCCATATGTAGTGACTTGGTCATAGTCATTGTTGTATGTATAATGACAAAACCATTTATGGAGGGCATTTATTGTATATCGCTTATGGCTGTGATATACTGCAGTTTCACACAATGACACATACCCAATGTAGGCACAAAGCTCGGATATCTTGTCTGTCTTTGTTCTCACTACCTGTAAGAGAAAATAAAGTATAAATATGAGGGACAAGCGCGTTTATACACTTTTACCACTAGATGGCAGCATCATACCAGAAAGGCAGGACTTTTGTAGGAGAGCCTTCATCTGAGTGTAAAAAGTTTGTTTATAAAAAATAAAATACCAAATTGTAAAAGACAATAGCCGAGTTGTAGAATGTTTCCAAATGAACTATTTTGGCATACATTTTGCAATTCTGCTTTCAATTCACTGGATTTCTGTGTTTAGTGGATAAATTAGGTGACTAAAAATATGTGTTATACAGCGCTTAAAAAATGTGTTCTAGTGGTTAAAAACTATTTTAATTAGCTGCTCGCTTACATTATCCTTTACAAACACAAAATGTGTAAGTTATCATGGTGGAACGCTAAGTAAATTATTCTATTCTAATACTAATTTATATAAATACCTTCTTAAATGCCAATTTTATAAAGTGAGAAGTCAATATTATAACCAATTCCTCTGTAGCTGTACACTGCCATATCTAGAATTTAAGTTATAATCTTAAAGGAGAATCACAAGCACCATAACCACCACAGTGCTAATCCCTACCTCCATTATTAATGCCTGAGAGTTAGCTTATTGGCTGAGGGAGTCAGCTGATCACCCTCAGCTAATGGGCTAAAGCCAGGGATAGGCAATCTACGGCACTCCAGATGTTTTGGACTACATCCCCCATAATGCTCTTACACCCATAATGCTGGCAAAGCATCATGGGAGGTGTAGTCCAAAACATCTGGAGTGCCAAAGGTTGCCATGCCTGGGCTAAACCCTGCACTGCAGGGCTCAGGAGACCTAGCAGAGGTTCCCACTACAGGAAGTCAAAGCATTAAAAAAACAGTTTCATTACTTAGAGGGACACTACAGATCCCTAAAGCACTTCAGAAAGCAATTTGCTAAAATGATCACTTTTATAAATGAACCTTGTTACATCCCCCTGGCTGTCAATGTGCTTGTTACTTCCTGGTTGGTTAGCTCAATGAAGCCAAACTCAAAAGGCAGCAATTGCCCAGAGCCTTACAAAGACTTCTCATTGAGCTGCATTGGGAAGTGTTTGATTGGACAGCCACAGAAAGTCTGGGCGGGGCTAGTAGGGGAGAGCTTGCAAATACTGCAGACAGGAGATCTGCAGCTTTTATAAACTGCTTTTAGATATATCCCAAATGAAAAAAATGCATAATTAAAGGTATGTAGGTTTTCCTGTATATCTAGTAGACAGGGATATTTATATATTTTTTTTGTAATTGGGCAGTGGAGTGTCCCTTTAAAATACAAAGGAGGCACCAGATCACTTTCAGCACCATAACCACTAAGGCAAGCTACAGATTTTAAGTACAATAGACTGTGTATAACATGTTTAATTCTGCTTGATATCTGCAAATTGCTATTGCGTATTTTTAAAGCAGATTTTATTTTTTGTTTCCTACAAACAGAAAAAAGACAGACATACGTACTTAAAAAGGACTTTATGGGGGATTGCTGTTATACTGTTTGCCTAAATCTCTGTCACCTGATCTAAAGCCCTAACGTCACGTTTAGCTTCTGGGAGAAAAGTACAGAACGCAAACGGAATCTTAATGTTTCAATTATTCAAAAATGATGGGGCTGAAAAGTAAATTGCAAAATTTAAACAAAAATAGCTGTGGCTTTATAGTTGGAGCATGATTCCAAATGACCTGTTTTTGCCAAAATCTAGCTTTGCGTATAAAAAAAAAAATAATAATAAAAAAATAAGACAAGGACACCTCTATTTAAATGGGCCTCAAATAGTGAATAAAAAAGTAAATCAATGCATATCAAACAAAATAAACAAACATGTGGCCTAAATCAGCGTGACTTGGATTACATCTAGATGGCCGCGGTTTGGTATACCTGGTGCCTTTCTTCACTATAATGGGGCTTGAACAGTGAATTTTGGTTACTTGGAAACGACCGTTGCAAAATTTAGGCTAAAATAGCCAAGCTGTGACTATAACTGAGCTCGATAATTAATAGCCAAATCGGCTATTTTTGTCTAAATGTTCCACTTTGGTGTTCGGCTCGCTCCAGTTCACTGTTTGGTGGTTCCGTCCCTGTGTGAGACCAGTGTGAAGGAGCGGGGAAGGTAGACCTTAAGCCAGATACCCCAAAACATACAAAGATCGCCAAATGGGGGTGGTGTTAGAAGACCACAGCTTGTGCCTGGATATTTTACTCATATTCCAATGTGCCACAAACATTGATGGACATAATAATAATAATAATTAATAAAGTACAATGAATTATAGAAATATCTTACTTACCAAAAGAATTTCAGTAGATTCTTCTATTTCCCCCTTCCAGATATATCTAGAAAATAAACACGTTATATAGGCAATCAAGCACTTGAAAGGTGAATGGTGATGTCACGATAGTCAGATATATCCTGATTGGCTAAATGTAACTTTTTATGGCAGTGTAGCCGAACTGCAAATATAGAAGAATTGGAGATTTTGTTACAGTTTGCCTAGTTTGGTGTAAAATTTGAACCCCCAGGACTAACTATTGCCTTGTTCTCTAAAGGAACACTCCAAAGACCATAGCCACTACAGTTTAATGTAGTGGTTATGGTGCCATGACACACATAATATCAAAAATCACTACAGTGTGCAGTAATAGTTATGGAGATTGGAGTCTTCCTTAACATTGTGACTATCAAATTGCCCTCTCCATTAAATCAGCAATTATACTGACATATTCCGAGACTAGTGTAAACTGACAGGGAGGATGGGGGTAGATCTGTGCTGCTGAGTTCAAGCGAGAAGTCCAGGACCTGCCAAAATCCATGCAAACGGCATTAACAGTCCTGCCAACAGTCTACGTTGAATCAAATAAGTCTGATTAAAGATTTTGCCCAAAGTGTTATCGATAAGGAAACTCATTGGACATCAAAGCTACCAGACATATAGTCAATACTCAAAGTGTTTTGACTGAGCGAGAGCCATTGGTACTTGGACTGCACCTGGGTCTCCCACATGTCCTCACCCTGAGGGTAATGAATACTTAGGCCGAAAGAACACAAAGTATAAAAACGTTGAACTGTATCCCAGTAATTAGAAACAATGAGTATGTTATTCCTTGATTGACCAGTTATTAACATTCCATACGATCTCCATTTGTGTTTTGTAATACGGTACTTTGCACACTGGTTCATGGTTTACTTGCTAACAGCACGTCTGTAGTCCCCAATAAATGCTAAAATAACTTAAAGAAATAACCTAAAACTATCCTGGCAAATCTCCGGGCTCTTCGCTCCACTCCCTGTTTTATGTCACAGCAGTCATCATCATGAGTTTCAATCAAAGGGTTCTCATAGAGACCTCAGTATAAATTAAAAACTATAAATAAATGTAACGGCACCCCCAGGCATAAATGGGGTTAAACCGCCTTTTAGTAGATCTTCCCTTCCAGAGACACAGGCACAGCTACTGCAGAACACCAAACTCTCGAACTGAATACAAGGGAATGCTCCAAACTCCCGAACTGCATACAAAGTAGCACTCCAAACTCCCGAACTGGAACCTCCCGAATAGCTGCTAGCAGACAAACAGGAAAAGCACCCAAGCGACTTACACTCCTGGCAATCAGTCAGCATACAGTAAATCCCCCCAAAGACGAGACAGGGCTCCGTGTTGAGGGTCAAGCAGTGGTCTGGTTTATTCAGGGCTACCTGCCCAGTATTTATGCAGGTCTCCCCCCTGGTGGACACTCCCCTAGGGGACCAAATGGGAGACTGTGACAAGGGACAGACATGCACCAATAACAGACACACAGAAGTAAAACATCCTCACAATGCATCCTAATTCCCTCCCCTCTATGCTGGAGATAATTGGGACGTAATCCAATTATCTCCCAAGACCGAGGCAAAACTCCATTACACACGTGGTTATAATAAAACACTAAAATACAATAAAATACATAATGTTACCTTTATCACATAAAATATATACATTAAACCCATCCCCAGATAGCTGGGATCTGAGCGCACAATTGTACCGAATAGCGCTCAGATCCTATACACACAGTTCAATTGCCATGGAGCCAAAGTCTTTAATTACATGAATAGGCCCCATGACATAGGTATCTGGGTTAAAGCATTCACATAAAACAAAGTCCCGAATGATCAGGTGTTCGGTTAAATAGCCACGAATAGAAGCAGGGAAGGCTGGAGGCTCAGCGGTGCCTGCACGTAAAAGTGTCCGCTTTTAGTGCACGGATTCCGGGCTGAGCACTGCTGGCTGTCCGGGGAGTTCCATAACACCGCCACCTAGCGGCCGCTAAGTGTAACCGCGGCCACCCAGTAATAGTCAGTTAAGCTGTGGTTAACCGCAGCTACTGGGTTGTCAATTGACTGCACACGCCAGCTTCTGGGCGGCCAATTAACAGCACCTGCCGGCTCCCCACGGCGCTGGGGAGGCTAATAGAAGGCGGTTTGTGTGGTAGACTAAATCTACCGAACGGCTGTGCAGAAAGGCATGAATAAACTGCTTAACTGCCGGTCCATAATCCAAAGGCAGCAGGCAGGCAACCAGGCTCCTCCAATGCAATGTGGCGAGATTGGTCTCGTCACAATAAAATTAACTTGTGTGTGAGTGAGTCATTATCAGTATGTTGTCTGTCAGTGTGTGTCTAATCAGTGAGAGTGTGTGTCTGTTAGTGTGTGTGTACACTCAATGCAACTCCACAGTCCCTTGACATATACACTGATCAGCCACAGCATTAAAACCACTGACAGGTGAAGTGAATAACATTGATTATCTCACTACAATGGCACCTGTCCAGGGGAAAGAAATATTAGGCAGCAAAGAGAAAAGATCTGAGTGACTTTGACTGGGGCCAAATAGTGATGGCTAGATGACTGGGTCAGAGCATCTCCAAACAGCAAGTCTTGTGTGGTGTTCCCAGTTTGCAGGGGTTAGTACCTATTAAAAGTGGTGCAAGGAAGATCAACCAGTGAATCAGTGTCATTGGCTCCCAAGTCTCATTGAAGCACCTAAGTAGCGCAGGTCAGCATGTCTGGTCCGATAACACCGAAGAGCTACTGTAGCTCAAATTACTGAAAACGTAATGCTGGCCACGATAGAAAGGTGTCCGAACACACAGTGCATTGCAGGATGCATTATGGGAAGAAGGCAGGCCGGTGAAGGGATCCTGGCATTTATGTGGATGTTACTTTAACATGTACCGCCTACCTAGAGCTTGTTGCAGATCATGTACACTACTTCATGGCAGTGATATTCCCTGATGGCAGGAGCCTCTTTCAGCAGGATAATGCACCCATCCATACTGCAAAAAATGTTTAAAAATGTGTCGGGGACCATGACAAAGAGTTCAAAGTGTTGCCTTGGCCTCACATTCCACAGATCTCAATCCAATTGAGCATTTGTGCGATGTGCTGGAACAACAAATCCTATCCATGGAGTCCCCACCTCGCAACTTGCAGGACTTAAAGGATCTACTCCTAATGTTTTGGTGTCAGATACCACAGGACACGTTCAGAGGTCTTGTGGAGTCCATGCCTCTACGCATCAGAGTTGTTTTGGCAGCATGAGGGGACCTACATTATATTAGACAGGTGCTTTCAATGGTCTCCCTCCATATTGAAGACAGAGCAGTGAATATTCCAAGTGGCGGACAGCGGACGCTGAGATAGGCGAGAAAACACTTCCAAGGAAGAAGGATCGATTAACCCTTTCAGAGGGGACCTACATTATATTAGACAGGTGGTTATAATGATGTGGCTGATCAGTGTAGACTGCATCCACACACACACACACACTGCATACATTAAATACACTCACTGCATTAGTGGTGGCGGATTGTGACCACGGGGCCCCAGGATTTGAGCTGTTTAAAAAAACAATTTCATTGGATTAGCCCTTTAATTTATGAAATTGTTATTTTAGATATCTAATGCCAGGGTTATATCAATAATTTCTGTTAAATCTTGAATTAAGTACTTTGGGTGAATAGTCCGAGTTTAATCTTGTTTTTCTTATCCAGTAAACTCCACAAGACAGTTGTCACTCACATAACAGTTCTGTGTCTGCACAATTAATGTAATAACTGAACTCCTAACGTGTGGTTAGAAAATATTATACAGAATCCATTCATTGATCAGAGTCCTCACCAGGGGAGGGCTGTCAGCCTTAGGCCTGGGGGACAAATCCAGTTAAGTGGCCCATTGCAACAAGAGAAGAGTAAAAACACCTTTCACATGTGATTGAAAGGGGGGGGGGGAGGCAGTCACCTACACAGACACACTCACTGACATGCACACACACTTGCTGATTTGACACACACTAACAAACACACACACTAAATGACACACTGTTACAGGCATACTGACACACACAGACATACTGGCACACAGACATACTGGCACGCACACACACACAAACTTTTAAAGCCAGTTGACAGTGGCTGAGTAAGTGGACAGGGCTGTAGTAGGGGGGTTAGGGGCTGTAGTGGGGGTATGTGCTGTAATTGGGTGTTAGGAAATGTAGTGGGGGGATAGGGGCTGAAGTAGGTTGATGGCTACAATTTGGGAAAGGGGCTCTGGTGTGGGTGATATGGGTTGCAATTGGTCAGGGGGCATGGGGCTGAGGAAGGGGGACAGGATCTGAGAGGAGGGAACATGAGCTGAGAAGGGGTGGACAGGGGCTGAGGAAGGGGACAGGGCTGAAGAAAGGGACAGGGGAAGGGGGACAGGGGGTGAGCAAAGGAACAAGGGCTGAGCGAGGGGCCATCTTGGACCGGTCACAGTGTGATCTGCAGAGCAAGGTTCTCATTCAGGAGACATGGCAGGAATCGTCAGTAAACCTGGTTAGTCTTAAAATCCACGCGGAGGGTGTATAGATCCAATAGCATGACGAGTATTTCCAGACTTACCTGATCCTTATGCTCATATATTCCAATAAAATATAGTGACTGAAATATATGAGCATGATGTTTAATCCTGGGATATTAAATAATATGAACTGATAACTAATCAGCAGTTTTAGCAGCTGATGCACTTTTGTTCTCCTCTTGTTTTCCTTATACCACTTTATTTCTTAAAGGTTAACTGTGAAAAACGAATCTTTCTATGTGTTCTGTGCAATGAACCATTACACAAAATGTAGCAGAAGGACTTGGGGCACTTATAGTAGCTATAACCTTGACACAAATAAGAAATGTATTTTTGAAGTGTCTTAGCTGTGGTTAACTAGAGATTTGTCTGTAGTGAAAAAAAATCTCTTTAACCCCTTTCACTGGGAGAAGAGCAGTGAAAGTCACGCCACATCCTCCTGACATCATCAGGAGAGGCCGGCCGACTCCACTGGCTGCAGGCTGCAGGGAGAGAGGTAAGTTGAAAAATCCCAGTACCCAACCAGAGGCAGGGGATTCGTTTTTTTCCTTTTTTTTGCTAGATGCAGACGGTCCTGGATTTAGGGCGGCCTGGGGGGCAATTGCCTCCCTGCCCCCTGTTCCGGTCCACCCCTGGTCCTCACGTCTTGTAGTGTGCCATAGATTTCTGTATTTCGTTTATTACGTTACTTACAGGGATGAAGACTTTGGCATAATGTTTACGCTGACAGCCAAGCGTTTTTCCAAGATTCCCCTACGGAAAACAGAGACAATTAATGTTTTAGCGCTTGGACACATTTCTCTTCCTGTTTCAAAGAGATTACTCCACCACCCTGAGTGCCTGCTATGAGCAACTCTCCTTCTTAAAGGATTACTCCAACCAAAAACCAGTGTCCCACGAAAACACCAGTTCTGGTTAGGGTAGCATGATATATATTAACCTGGGCTAAGCTATCCGCATATAATTAAAGGAATATTAGAGGTACCAAATCACATTTAGCTTAATGAAGCCGTTTTGGTGGATAGATCATGTCCCTGCAGTCTCACTGCTCAATTATCTGCCACTTAAGTGTTAAATTGCTGTATTTATGCAGCCCTAGCCACCAGTGCTGTATTTACAGCGAGGCTAACAAGGCATTTGCCTTGGGTGGCAGATTAAGGGGGGCGGCAAAAAACGCCACCCCCCCTTAAGTGCCTTGTTATCCTCTTTCATGGGGGATCCAAAAGCTGGCCACCTCAGAGTCCCCAGAGGCACGTGGCTGCCAATATTGTGGGCAGCATGAATCTAAAATACACCACTGCAAGCCACACCTCCCTACATGTGACTTACACAGCTTTGCTAAATACTTCCTGTAAAGAGACATCTGTTTAAACTTCCGTTATTGCAAATTATGTTTAATTTAGAATTTCTTATCTCCTGCTCTGTTAATAGCTTGCTAGACCCTGCAGAAGCCACCTGTGTGTGATTAAAGTTCAATTTGCAGAGCAGGAGATAAAAAAACTTCTAAAGCATGTTAACATCTGATTGAAAATGAAACAATTTTTTCACGTAGGTTGTGTCAGTCACAGTCAGGGGAGGTGTGGCTAGGGCTACAAGGAAAATAACAAAAGTGACCTAACTCCTAAATGGCAGATAATTGATCAGTGAGACTGCAAGAGCGTTCTCTATACACCAGAACTGCCCAATTAAGCTAAACTTGTTAACTGTGCTGGCTAATGACAATATAGGTGGTCAAAAAACTGAAGTGGTCATGGTGCTTGGAGTAACACTTTAATTTATACACATGTAGTCCGACAGAGGTCTACAATAGGAAAGAATAAACAAAGTAATCATTATTTATCATGTAATTATTATTAACACTTTATCCAGTGTACCTTCCAATATCTTTTGCAATTTGCTCGTTGGGGCAGTTGACGTAGGCAAGAGAGTGGGCCCCAGGGATGTAGCTTCCGGTGAGCGATGAGTGAATCTGAAAGTATAGGCTTTTAAAGACGGGGTACATTAAACAGGAACTGATCATCACCTGCAAAACAAACACAGCAATAAGGGTTTTGTTTAATAATGAATTCCCAGAATGCAATGCACCCAATGCAATTTAATCGCATAATATCATGCAGAGTCTGTAAATAAATAGTCTGATAGCACAGTAGAATATTTGTGAAATATAATTGGCCATTCCCGCTATCAAAAATTGGTGCAAATAGCGGGGGTGGACAGAAACTTGAAAAAAAATTGTGTTGCAAATATGGTATATTCCAAATTGCAGAGATTTGTACAATTTATGGGCTGTTTCCAGTCCCAGTGATTGGGACATACCCCATAAATAGAAAATGCCAGTTTACTGAACTGGCATGTATCCTTATTATTATTTTATTATTTATATAGCGCCATCAGATTCCATAGCGCTGTACAATGGGTGGACTAACAGACATGTAATTGTAACCAGACAACTGGACGTACAGAAACAGAGAGGTGGAGGGTCCTGCTCAATGAGCTTACATTCTACAAACCAGAACACCAACCAGGGCTGCGCATACGCAGAGCTGCAGTCCCTTTTATTTTGATGGTCTTGACATATCATTTGTCATGTAGATGTCAAACCATTAAGGGGGATGAATCCCAGGTGGAACAGAGGTTCTAATAGAACACTTTCCCACTAGTCCGACACCGTAGGAAGGTAATAATGACAAACAGACAGGTAACTTATTATTACCTATTATTATTGCATTAAAATAATTAATTTCTAAAGCACAGTGTAGCTCCTGAAGGAGCAACCATATCAGTACTTGGGTGTCCGACTCCCATCACTGAATGTTTGTGACCTACTTTAAATTTAATCTTCCAATCTTCTGTACGTATATCATTTGAAGAAATTGTTATTTATTTATTTTTTTTGCTCACCACGATTGCTGTTGTTTTGTAAGAAGATTAAATCTCCCGTCAGATTTGCATTAGACGCAGGTGTTAAATCCCACATTCCAAAGGAAAAGCAATGTGAACTTTAATTATTAAAAAGGGATCACCCATTGCTGGATGTGGTTGGTATAACTATTATAAACACTCCTGCTTGCTACTTGACAAAACCGTACACACCAATGGTGAAATAAACACCTTAATTCTTTTTTTAAATGTAAAATAAATGTGTCAGTTACTCAAAGCATATCTCCCAAGTGACCCTGTTCAATAGAGACAGCCCCTCTTTTTTATCCTAACATTCCGTTTTCCCAGCACTCGTTTAGGGTTAGGAATTCGGAGTGCATTCAATGTGAATTTCACATTTAACCCCTTAAGGACACATGACATGTGTGACATGTCATGATTCCCTTTTATTCCAGAGGTTTGGTCCTTAAAGGGTTAAGACACAGGTAGACAAATTGGAAACATTATCCAAGTTAGCTATGCTTTCCGTTTGACTAAGTTGGCTTTAAATTGGAAATATACTTTGAATTCCCGACAATTAATGAATAACCCTTCTTAATATTTTCAGTGTCTTATTTTTTTTTGTCTGACTTTGTAACAGAGACTCATGGTAACAAATCTACAGTAGCGTGTCTTTAAACTGCCTTTATCTTTGCACAAGTGTGTCAGTATGTGTGTCTGTGTGTGTCCTTGTCCTTATGTCTCTCCATATGGGATGTCTGTTTGCATGCTTATGTCTATGCATGTGTGTTAGTGTCTGTGTGCTTGTGTTTGCGCATGGGCATATGTATGTGTATATTTTAAAAACATAAGGCTGTCTGTATTATATCACTGTCATTGTCTGAACTTCTGTATGATTGGCTTGGTTCTTGAAATTGTTTAGAACTGGCAAAGGAATCATGGATTTTAGACCAAAGTAAAAAAAAAGTTGAAGGGTTAAATAACTCCAAAGTCTCCCTAGTTAGTAGGGACAGTCCCCCTTTTGTGCCCAAATATCTCTGTCCCTCTTCTCTATCCTAATGTCCCTCTTTTCCAGGAGCTCCATATTGTTGGTGTGTCTTAGTGTATCACAGAGCTCCACAGCAATAATACTCCCAGTAATGTGTCTGAGTGTATAACAGAGCTCCACAGCAATAATACTCCCAGTAATGTGTCTGAGTATATAACAGAGCTCCACAATAATACTCCCAGTAATGTGTCTGAATGTATAACAGATCTCCACAGCAATAATACTCACAGTAATGTGTCTGAGGGTATAACAGAGCTCCACAGCAATAATACTCCCAGTAATGTGTCTGAGTGTATAACAGAGCTCCACAGCAATAATACTCCCAGTAATGTGTCTGAGTGTATAACAGAGCTCCACAGCAATAATACTCCCAGTAATGTGTCTGAGTGTATAACAGAGCTCCACAGCAATAATACTCCCAGTAATGTGTCTGAGTGTATAACAGAGCTCCACAGCAATAATACTCCCAGTAATGTGTCTGAGTGTATAACAGAGCTCCACAGCAATAATACTCCCAGTAATGTGTCTGAGTGTATAACAGAGCTCCACAGCAATAATACTCCCAGTAATGTGTCTGAGTGTATAACAGAGCTCCACAGCAATAATACTCTCAGTAATGTGTCTTTAAACTGTAGTAAATGTGTTTAGAAATCAGTCTGTGTAAATAAGATACATTGTTTTTGTTTTGAGTAAGACTTTAGTTGCATAAATTGTTATTAGTAAATCACCTAAAATTTCTCAGAATAGCCCGGCCCCCGGCCACGCTCCTATTCACACCCCTAATATTAAAGTGTCCCTCTTAGTCCATTTGAAATGTTGGGAGATGGGGGATTTTGCCAGTCCGGCTACATTGGAGTAAAATCTGAAATCCCTGTCATTTCTCCACATTCCCAGTTTAGTGAATTTACTACAATGTGTTTGAGATCGTGTTCTTTTCTACTCGCAGATGTCTGCTTGTTATATATTAATAGGTTCCATTATGTTCGCTCTTACTAATGTTGTGAATCACATCCGAGTGCATTATCTTCAAACCCCAGGTGGGAGAAATTTCTGGATCGACTTGTTAGTATTACAGAAAATGCTTCGTAAAACAGGCCAACAATTAATAAGAAGGATCAATCGGTCTCACTAGTGCAGACGCTACTTCCTGTCTATAGAAATAGGATAAAATGCCTGGGATTATCAACTAAAGTGGGACATGCGGAGAGCTGACAAACAAATTTCAATTACTAGACCAAAAGAAGTGATCTGAAAACATTGTCAAGCAACAAGATCCCTGTAGCTTTGCCACTTAGCCCAAGATTTTGTGATTTTTAGTTTAGCGACCAAACAAATGCAAATTCTATCCACATCAATTTTCAATGTCTTTATTTGCCCATTGTGTTATTTCTATATTCGCAGTAGCAGATTCAGTAAAGTTCAGAAGTGTACAATGCTTGACCTACATTTTTCCATATGACACTCTTAAAACTCGAGAAACCTCCTCCCAAGAACATTACTGTACCTGGAAATGTAGCGGAGCTCAAACTGGAGTATTACTGCGTTGGCATATGCCCAGGGCACAAAACTCATTGCTGAAACTATTAGCAGAATCTGAAGACAACATGAAAATTGTAAACTGCCACATGCAAAAGAATTTAGGTTGTGTACTGTAGCGGACCACGGGTAACCCGACTGGTTACCTCTCCTAATTCCTTCCTTCAGCCACTTGGGAACCATTAAAGCATGCAGACATCCATTCCCCCAGTACCCAGACAAAACATAGTTCTGGGAGTCAGTTGAGGTTTATTGGAACACACACGGCTTTTATGCACAGACCCCTACATGGGGTCTCCCATACAATAATATGGGGCTTTTCCTCCCAGGATGCTCTACAGAAAAATATACCATATTCGAAAACACTCCAAAAATACTTTTTCAAAAGGGGCTTATTTGATTGCATGGGAGGTCAGAGCTTGCAATCCAAATTCCTCTTTGATGCTGGGACCCCAACTGAGCCACTCTGGAAGGGTGAGAAGTCATACACAGTTGGCCTGGAAGTATGGCTTCAGTATGACCTAACTCACTCACTTGCCACGTTTCCTGATTTCCTCCTAGATAAGGTGTCCTTTGATATAAATAGTCATCAGCCCTCAAGAAAACCCTCTGTGCTACAGTATCATATTAAAGAGACACTAACACTTACCCACAGATTAATAACTATGCCTCATTTCTATTACATTTAGAATGGGACAAACACAATCTTCTAATCAAGCCCAAACGTGATTTGCGAACAAGGGGAAAAAAACATACGAATGAGTAGTAGTTCTGCCACATGTACATTGGAGAAAAAAAATAAAAGGTTTCTGATAAACTTCTCAACGTGGATTAGAACATCAATTTTGCAATTTGATGGGTGTAACAATATATGCAATTGAGTAATGGTGGGAGCAGTAGAGCCCCCTTACAGTTCCTCTGATCTCCATCGTAGCAGCCTCGATCTATGCTATGCAGTTGCAGCATAGGCAACTTGAAGAACTCCAGATGTGTTGGACTAGATCTCCCATAATGTTGGCAAACATCAGGAAAGATGTAGTCATCAACATCTGGTGTGCCGAAGGGTGCCTACACCTGCCTTACACGTGCTAGAATAATATAAGTAGAGTGAACCATTAAACTTACCTTAAATGATCCCATATACGTTGAATACATCATATATCATAAACATACATAGTGTATTCAATGTAAAATATAGAGATTTATTCCCTTTTCCTCAGTTTCAGCGCCGTTTCGTAGGTGTTACTCTTTGTCGCCGTCCTCCATTCCGCCTGGACTCCGATTCTGTTCTTCTTTGAGCTGTCTTGGTTTGGATGCATTCCAAAGCAGGGCAAACCACCTCAGAGAAGTCTCACTCTGAATGCACAAATGGGCAGATTCTCAGAGTAAGTGGACAGTTTATTTGTGTGAATGTGCGTATTCTCTGTAAACGAGTTGTGTATTTATGTGAATAGGAAGATATTCAAGGTCACACAACATGGGAATTGTTCCTTCTTAAATTTTACTGACTGGAAGAGAATTATATCTTCGACTAAAAGCATATTATAACTTTAATCCCTGCTTCGATTCAGATGACTCAATTAAAGCTAAATAAAAATTTTGGCTACATGCCTACAACCAACTGGTTCTGTCATCTTAATGATTCATATTGCAAATCTGAAGAATATTGACGTCCATTCAATTGAATGTTCATAGTTGTAGCCGCCCGGGGGCAGGATTTTGCCAATCCTGGACTTGTTCTGGACTTTTTGTTTAAATAACCCCAGGATGAAGGAATGCATCAAGGAGGAAAACTGATACCGTTGCCTCGGAGAGCCCTTTCTATATCTGAAGCATCAAAATGAACCGGACAAAAGACTGTCTGTCTGTATATCTGTTATCCCAAAGCGTCTCTATGCTCCATTGCAAAATGCCAAATAATAATGCACACAGAAGAAAGCAACTGACTTTCAGAAAATGGTTTCAGAAACTCAAAAACTTTGTCTTACTTTGATTTCAAAGGAACCGCAATGCATTCTGGGTGCAAATCAATTATCACTGGTATAATGGAATCTGAAAAAGATATAGCAATTCCCAGTTAAAATTCTGCCAACTCCATGTCTCTCTTCCCCCCTAACCTCTCCCTCTACAGCGGTTTGTTTTTGGCACTTCAGCCTGAATTGAGGCTGATATTAGTGTTCCATAACCATACAGACTTAAAGGAACATTACCATGTTTCTTATTCCTCCTCCAAGGTGTTTCGTCTCCTACCCCCATGTGTCTCATTCCCCCCAGCCCCTCCATATGTTTCATCCACTCCCCCCAGCACCTTTCATGTGTCTCATTCCCACCCCAGCCACCCATGTGTCTCATTCCCTTCCCCTCCATGTGTCTCAATGCCTCAGTCCCTCCATGTGTCTGATTTCCTTCCCCAGCCCCTCCATGTCTCGTTCCCTCCTCCCAGACTCTCCTTGTGTCTCCTGCCCTTCCCCAAGCCCCTCCATGTGTCTTCCTCCCACCCCCCAGCTTCTTCTTGTGTCTCATTTCCTCCAGCCCCCCATGCAAGGTCAGCACATCCTTTAGACGACTTACGCAGTCACCTAGGGTGCACCGGCCCAGGGGTCGCCAGTGTAACGGATCACCTGGCACCCGACTGGGTACCTCCGTTGAAGGATGCTCCTAGCGCTTCCTAAAGGACTCCAAGCACTGCAACAGACACCATAACCACCATAGACTCCTCCAGAGAGCAAAACAGGAACAAGCTCTTACAAGAGCTTAGCAGTGAAAAGCAAGATAGAGCATCTTGCAGAGCATAGCAATCCCTTGTAGCAGATTCCCCCAATAAGAGATGGCAAATTGAGGGTGAAGTAGAACTGTCTAAAAACTTTATTTTACTTGGGACTAGCCCATATGGTCATTACATTAACATTGCTGTGAAAACTCAATAAAATTACAAACAGTCAAATCATAGCAGGCAACATCCAGTGACTTATTATAACATAATTACATATTTATAAATAGGTGGGGAAGACCATAATTAACACAAAATGTCTCTCCTGCATGCAGAATTAGCGATATGCAAATCTACCCGAATATGCAAATTACCAGTCTTGCTATTCAGATAGTGCATATTACTGTTGCTACCAACAGGGCACTACACAAGCTCCATAGCCAAATCCACCGAGTTGGTAGCAATCCTCAGCAGTACAGGAGAGCAGGCAATACATTCTAGGGGCCATAGTCACATATCAGGAGGCTGGCAATCAGTCTTCTCCAATGCCCAGTGGCGAGGCTGGTTCCGCCACAGCCAGATTTAAGTGACTGGCAGGAGGGAAGCACACAGCGCTCCCTCCTGCCAGTCACTCAATGTAGCGTGGCTGGGCGGCGCGGACCGCAGTACAGGTGCTTCTGTTTTCTGTACCCAGCCGCCGGCGGACTGACAGGAAGTGCTCGCATAGGTGGGAGGCACAACAGGGAGGGAGGACCACTAAGGAGGGGGAGGAGCACTAGGGGGGGAGGAAAGCGGGGATGACAAATAAGAAGGGGAGGACCACACTAAGGGAAGTAATAGGACCACAAGGGAGGGAGAGGAACAGAGGAACCACTGGGGAGAGGAACCACTAAGGGGGAGGGAGGAAGGAACCACTAAAAGAGGAGAGGGAGAGGACCACTTAGAGATAAAATTAAGGGACCACCAGGGAGGAGAGAGGGACTGGGGGGGAGGATCACTAATTATTTGGGAGTGGGGGAAAGGGGGAGGGAGGACCACTAAGGGGGGTGAGGGGACCACCAAGGTGGGAAAGGACCACTAAGGGGTTTGGGAGAGGGAGGACCACTAATGGGTTGGGAGAGGGAGGACCACTAAGGTTCTTAAGGTTGGTGGGGGTGAGTGGACCACTAAGGGGGAGGGAGAAGACCACTATGGCGGGGGAGAGGAGACTGGAGAGGATCACTAGAGGGGGGAGAGGGAGGACCACTAAGGGGAAATATGGGACTGCAGGGAGGGAGAGGGACTGGAGGAACCCCACGGGGGAGGGGAGGACCACTAAGGGGGGAAGGGAGGAGGGGGAGGACCACTAAGGGAGGAGGGAGGACCACTAAGAGATGGGGGGAATTAAAGGACCACCAGGGAGGGAGAGGGGGACTGGAGAGGATCACTAATTGTTTGGGAGTGGGGGGAAAGGGAGGACCACTAAGGGGGAGGAGGGGGGCACTAAGGGGCCAGAGGAGACTGAAGAGGACCACTAGAGGGTGGGAGAGGGAGGACCACTAAGAGGTTGGGTGAGAGGGAGGACCACTAAGAGAGGGGAGAGGGAGCACCACTAAGAGGGTGAGGAGGACTACTATAGGGGGAGAGGAGGACCACTAAGGGAGGAGAGAGGGGAGGGACCACTAAGAGGGGGAGAGGAAGGACCACAAAGGGGGGGAGAGGGAGGACTACTACGGGGTTGGGGGAGAGGGAGGAACACTAAGGGTCTTAAGGTTGGGGGGGAGTGAGAGGACCACTAAGAGGGGAGAGGGGGGAGTGAGAGGACCACAGAGTGGGGAGTGAGAGGACCACCAAGGGGGGACTGGAGATGACCATTTAGAGTGGGGGAGACTACTAAGGGACAGGGTGGGGAGAGGAACACTGCAGGAGAGAGCACTAAGGGACAGGGGAAGGGGAGAGCTCTAACAATGGAGGGGTAGGGGAGATCACTAAGGAACAAGGGAGATCACTAAGGGACAGGACAGGTGGGGAGAGCACTAATGGACTGAAGGGGAGGGAATATCACTAAGGGACAGGGGGCCAAGGGTCAGGAGGGGAGGATAGAGCACTAAGGGACAGGAGGGGAGAACACTGAGGGACAGGAGGTAGATCACTAATTGATAGGAGGGGAGAGCACTAAAACAAAAAAAAGCTGCTCCCCTCTCAGCCCCTATCCTAGCCCACAAACCCTCTCTTTTACACTACATACATACACAATGCATCCTTACACATACACAGAAACATACAATGCATCCCTACTCACATACAGACACACGAAACACACAATGCATCCTTTACGCACACATACACACACACTGCTTCTCTTACACACACAGAAGCAAATTGCATCTCTTGCACACACTCAATGCACTTATAGACACACACTGCATTAAATTACATACCCAGAAACACACAATGCATTCCTTACACACAAACACACACTGCATCCCCTACACACACACTACATCCCTTACACAAATTGGTATCCCTATACACTACATTTCATAAGAACACACACACACATTACATCCTCTGCAATAACATCCCCTAAACACATACACTCCACTTCCTGTGAGCGAACTCATGGGTGGGCCATGTAGGTGGACTTATGGGCAGGCATACTCACGGTCAGGCCCTGGGGGCCCAGACCTTGAGCTGTGTAAGGGGCCCCAAAAATGGAGCTGCTTCCTGTTCGTTGCTTCTTGTGAGCACTGTTACAAACAGTCTCCAGAGAGCCTCTTCTACACGAGACCTGTGGAGCCAGACTGCAGCCTGAGTCCATCATCATCCTCTTGTCCTCATCTAGTGGTAAGTAGGCAATTCAGTATATTATTAGTGGCACTAATCTCTAAATTACCTCACATTAAAGGGACACTGTAGTCACCAGAACCCTCTACAGCTTAATGTAGTGGTTCTGGTGTCTATAGCCTGTTCCTGGGGGCTTTTTAATGTAAACTCAGACTGTGTGCAGCACTGGCGTTGGCTCCTATGGCAGATCATATGGGTGGGGCATTGTGATGTCACATGGGGGCAGAACATATGGGGGGGGGCGGCAAAGTTTCATGCACCGGCCCTGCCCCCATGTGTCTCATTCTCCCCCATCCCCTTCCTGTGTCTCATTCACTCTCCTCCCCCAGCCTCACCATTTGTCACATTCCCTCTCCCACCACCCCTCCATTTGTCTCATTCTCTCATTTCCTCTCTCATCCCCCGTAGCCCTCCATTTGTCTCATTACCTCTCCCCCCAGCACATCCATGTGTCTCATTTCCCCCCAGCCCCTCCATGTGTATCATTTTCCCCCCAGCCCTTCCATGTGTCTCATTTCCTCTCTCATCCCCCAGCCCCTCCATCTGTCTCATTCCCTCTCCCCCCCACCCCTACATTTGTCTCATTCTCTCATTTCCTCTCTCATCTGCCGTAGCCCCTCCATTTATTTTATTCCCTCTCCCCCCAGCCTGTTCATGTATCTCATTTGCCCCCCAGCCCCTCCATGTGTCTCATTTTCCCCCAGCCCTTCCATGTGTCTCATTTCCTCTCTCATCCCCCCAGCCCCTCCATTTGTGTCATTCCTTCTCTCACCCCTCTCCCGCCTCCCCTCCTGTACCTTCTGACTCTGTGTAGTGTGTCAGGGTGGTACCCAGTCTGAAAGGAAGTGCTCTCTCACTGAGCACTTCCTTTAAAACCACAATCCGCCTGGCCGCGCTAAATTTTTGTTTGCCTAGGGCGGCAAAAGTCCTTGCACCGGCCCTGCCCCCATGTGTCTCATTCTCCCCAGCCCCTTCCTGTGTCTCATTCATTCTCCTCCCCTAGCCTCACCATTTGTCTCATTCCCTCTCCATCCCACCCCTCCAGCGGTACCCGGTCTGACAGGAAGTGCTCTCTCATTCACTGAGCACTTCCTGTGAAACCACAATCTGCTCGGCCACGCTACACACAGAGACTGGCAGATGGGGTGCGGCACTGTGCTCTCCTCCTGCCGGTCACTTGGTAATCGTGGGCTCCTGGCTAATGCACCATGCACCAGCCCTGAAGTTGTGGTGGCCGACGGTTGCAGGGGTCGCAGCTGTGGCTGACGAATAGATTGGCAGATATTTTAAAATATAATCTAACCTCTGTTTGAATTCCAGTAATTAGTCACACACAAGACACACAAAAGTCTCAATCTATGAGCATCAGTCTAACCCAGAGGTTGGATCCTTTCGGCACTCAGGAAGTTGTGGACTACATCTACCCTGATGCTTTGCCAGCATTTTGGCTGTAGGAGCATTATGGGTAATGTAGTCCACAACATCTCAAATGTTGAAGGTTGTCTACCATTGGTCTAGCCAGACATCCACTTTAATCTTTCCCAGAATTCATCACAAAGGATGCGAGGCCAGGAGTGAGGCACAAACCTTCCATGCCGTTTCTTGCTCCTTGACACGGGAACCAAATATTTGGAATAATTTACTGAAGTGTGAAATTCAAAAATTTATAGTGACTTCGATGTAAATGTAAACTGTTAGATTTAAATTACCAATTGGGAAAATTTCTCCAAATCGGCAAAATTCTCAGTTGGACTTTTTTGGCCTCAAATTTGAAATTCACTTTGAGATTCCAAATTCACACTATAGTTATTACCCATGAGAGAGTAGTTATTCTCTTTTTTAGATACTGCTAACGTTGCATTTACCGCTGGTACCAATTTTTTACTGAACAGTATACTGTGGTGAATTAGAAAACAAACTGCAGAATTCAGACTCAAATATCTGAGCTACGATTACAGCAACACTGGAGAATTTCTACAGATCAGCTATTTTGTCCTAGTTTTTGCAAATAGCTTCTCAGCTCACACTGTACTTTGCCGTTTAGCGGTGCCGTCCTTCTATAACTGTATTAGTAGATTAAACCGGTAACTCCGGCATATTCTGCATGGCTGACCTCTTTACCGGTGCTTCAGATTCAATTATCCAGATGCCAGCCACATCAGGGGTTGACGACAGACTGCAAATGGTTGTAAAAAGGATCTCTTAAATGAATCATCGAGACGCTAATGACCCTATTGTACTTTTCCCTTTATCAATTTCCGCTGTCTTTCAACCACAATCCACAAGGAAGGAACGCAAGATGAAATTAGTGGGAAAGCAGATCTTTGTTGTATACCAGTCCTGTAATCTATGACGGCAAAACCATTTGACTATTTGATTTCAAAAGGTTGTTCGCATACGTACGTTACGTAGGTAGCAAAATATGCTTTGAAAAAATGTATAATTTATGATTTTTTTTTCCCCCTCCTTTTGCCTTAAAGTGTGCATTTATTTTGAGCATTTTTTTGTTTTTCAATGTGGACCTCTAAATAAATAGAATTTAATAGAATAACGATGGCTCGCTGTGATATCCAAGATGTTTCTAAACTACACTTCCCATGAGGCTCAGCCAGACATTGAGCCTCATTGTAAGGGTAGTTTGGAAACATCTTTGTGTGAATGTAGTTCAGAAATATCATTGTGTCAACGTTCTCTAAGAAGTACTGCACAGCACTCAATGGGTTAATAAAGTGCAAAAAAAAATAAAAAATGGTATATTTAAATGTTAGAACATATAATGTTCAATTGTTTATAACTATATTCTATTATCTTGTAAAACAGTAAATAACTACACCATCAAATCAGATTTGTGAGAGTGTAACTCAATTTAACTTTTTTTAAATTTAACATAAAAACAATATGAATATTTATTTACTGAACAGTAAATTGTGGTGCATTCAATATTATGCATGGTGGGGTGGGGAGGGAGGGGGGGAACCTTAGCAGATTGATATTAAAATATAAGTGTGGTCAGTCACCCTGCCATTAATGTTATTATTAATTAAAGCGCACCAACATAGGCTGCAGCGCAGTACAATGGTTAGAGAAACAAATCAGGCAACTGCAGTTTCTTCCCTAAAAGTGAAGCAGGGATTTACATTTTTTCTACACATTTAATAGTATTGCAAAGCAAATCAGTTATAAGCAAAACAAATGCATGAAAGAATTTTTTTTTATAAATTAAAAAACTTACCAGGAGAACCACTCCCCAGCTTGGACGAGGCAAATTCGGAGAGGGTAAGTGACAACGCTGGTACCAACAGGCCATGATCAGGAGAAAGCTGATGTCTTTAGGTTTTTCATTACGACAGAGGCTGGATGGGATGTGGCTTCTTCAGCCTGTATTTCAAGCAATAACTGTAGCCAAGCACACAGAATGATCCTGTTCTTTCCCCGTCTGTTTAAAGTACTCTCCTCCTTTTTTAGGTGCTAACACTGGTCCTTTCAACCCCCCCATGTAGATAACACGAAGGGGGGTACTTTAAACTCTAAGGAGATTATACGCCAAACAGCGGAAGGGATAACCCTTTGCAACACTTATATAGCTGAGTTTGAAAAAATGGAAAAAAATAAAATAACTTTGTACATTAACCTTCATCTCAGTTTTTCGCTTCGTAAACAAACTGACCTGTTTTTTTTTTTTTTGTCATTTGCAGACACAATGTTCTGCACCGACATCTGTGCTTCTTCCTTTGTCATTTTAAAGACCAGTTACTAAGCGAATCAATTTAAATTGTACTGTATCTGTCATGTTTTGGTGATTGGTAGCATTGATTTTTCAGTTTAAAGTACTAGTTAGTCATGCTGCAAAGTCTCCAGTCTAGAATCTCATTTTATATTAATTACATTCGCAAGGGGGAACCCTAACCAGCCACATAGCGCAAGTTTGCAGGAAAGAAATTTGCATATATTTGCATCATCTGCCTTGCCGTGCCTTGATAGCAAAAATTTCCATTCAATATAAATGAGAAAAAAAATAAAACAAACCAAAACATACATACGTTTACGCTGAATCCCCCCAAAAATTGTCTGGCAGGATTTCAACGACAATACAATATCAAAACAAACACACACAAAATCATTGATAGGCATGTATCATTAATGACGCGTTTATTTGTCTTTGAAGGATTCCCTTCCGATGTTAATGTTAGATATTGCTTTTTTTCTACATGATTATCTACCAATTATATGGATTAAGATTTTACAGTCCCATAGCATTCCAAATAAAAGCCATACAGTTCTCTTGTATATTGTGAACTATGTGGGGTAATGGAAAAAGAATCCTGTATTTGATACATCACTATATATTATTTAAACATCTCAGGTGACAGGTAGGTTTCAAACAACACTTGTTCCTGAGTCACGGCGTTCAAACAGAATTAAAAAAGAAGTACGTCAGAGCAGCAGAACTGGGACTGCTCCAAACATAGAGGGTGCTGGGAAAAAAAGAAGTCTGTTTTACACGAAGTAGTGGATACATGGCTAGGATCACCATCACAAAAGATAATTACTGTAATAATACCATGTTCCATGAAGATCAGGGCAATTGGCAGACATCGATTGAGATCCATCAACAAATGCAGGAACAGAAATTCATTGTGGTAGACAAGTGCGTCTACTACTGAATACAACATCGACTATTTAATGGCTAATCTGAACACTAGATGCTTGTGGACTACATTTCCCATCATGCTAAGGGATACTGAATTTCTAATGTACTTATTATTTTACTAAAAGTGTGAATCGTGAGCTTAAAGGGTACTTAAATCATATTTATAGGGCCGGTGCAAGAAATTTTTGCCAGCCAAGGCAAACAAAAATTTGCCATCACAATGCCCCCCCATATGATCTGCAATATGAGCCAACGCCAGTGCTGCACACAGTGTGTGTTTACATTAAAAAGCCTGCAGGGACCAACTATAGACACCAGAACCACTTTATTGAGCTGCAGATGGTTCTGGTGACTATAGTGTCCCTTTAATGTGAGGTCAATTAGGGATTAATGCAGTCTGGCTCCACAGGTCTGGTGTAGAACACGCTCTCTGGAGGCTGTTTGTAACAGTGCTCACAAAAAGCAACGAACAGGAAGCAGCTCCATTTTTTTGGGGCCCCTTGCACAGATCACAGGGAGTGGAGTGTATGTATGTAGGGGATGTGTTATGTGTTATTGTAGAGGATGCAATGTGTGTGTGTTCTTATGGAATGTAGTGTATAGGGATACCAGTTTGTGTAAGGAATGTAGCGTGTGTGTATAGGGGATGCAGTGTGTGTGTGTGTGTTTGTGTGTGTGTGTAAGGAATGCATTGTGTGAATCTGTGTTTGTATGTGTAAGGGATGCAAGGTGTGTTTCTGTGCATGTAATGTAAAGCAATGTGTGTGTCTGTAATGGGTGCATTGAGTGTGTGTAAGAGATGCATTAAGAGAAGCAGTGTGTGCAAGGGCAGCATTGTGTGTTTGTGAGGTATGCATTGTCTGTGTGTGTAATGGATGCATTGTGTGTTTCGGTGTGTCTGTATGTGAGTAGGGATGCATTGTATGTTTCTGTGTATGTGCAAGGATGCATTGTGTATGTATGTAGTGTAAAAGAGGATTTGTGGGGTAGGATAGGGGCTGAAAGGGGAGCAGCTCTTTCTTTTTATAGTGCCCTCCCCTCCTGTCCCTCAGTGTTCTCCCCTCATGTCCCGTAGTGCTCCCTCCTCCCCTCCTGACCCTTAGTGCTTTCCCTTGCCCCCCTGTCCCTTAGTGATATTTCCTCCCCTCCAGTCCTGTCCCTTAGTGATCTCCCCTGTTCCTTATTGATCTCCCCTACGCCTCCATCCTTAGAGCTCCATAGCTTAGAGCTATGTGTAAGGATGCATTGTGTATGTGTGCAGTGTGAAAGAGAGGGTTTGTGGGGTAGGATAGGGGCTGAGAGGGGAGCAGCTCTTTATTTTAATTATTATATTTATTTTGTTAATATATTTATTTTTGTATATTTTTTTCTTTGTGTTTTATCTTACACCTCCTTTAGTGTATCTCTTATAAGCCCCTTATGTGTCTCTTAACCCCCCCATTGTATGTCTCCTACATCCTCCAAACCCCTTTGCGTGTCTTTCTCCCCCAAGCCCCTTTGTGTCTTACTCTTCCCAGCTCCTTGGTGTGTCTCTTTTCCCCCAGACCCCTCTGTGTGTCTCTCTCCTGAGCCCCTCTGTGTGTCTCTGTCTCCCCTACCAGCCCTTCTGTGCTTCTCTTTCACCCCTTCCTCAGCCTCCTTATGTGTTTTACACTCCCCCCTGTCCCTTAGTGCTCTCCCCTCCCAACCTGTTTCTTAGTGTTCTCCCCCTGCCCCTTAGTGCTCTCCCCTTCCCTCCTACTCCTTAGTGCTCTCCCTTCCCCTCCTGCCCCTTAGTGCTCTCCCATCCCCTCTTGTCCCTTAGTGCTCTACTATCCTTTAGTCCCCTCCCATCCCCTCCTGTCCCTTAGTGATCTCCCCTGCCCCTTAGTGATCTCACCTGCCTCCTGTCCCTTAGTGAGCTCCTCTTCCCTCCTGTTCCTTAGTGTTCTCCGCTGTCCATTAGTCTCTCCTTCTCCCCCATCTTCTCCTTAGTGGTCTCTCCTCTCCCTCATATTTCCCTTAGTGGTCTCTCCCCCCCCCCCATCTTTCCCTTGAGTGGTATCTCACCCCATCTTTCCATTGTGGTCTCTCCTTCACCCCCATCTTTCCTTAGTGGTCTCTTCTCTCCCCCCTCCCCCCCCAGTGTCCCTTAGTGCTGTCTCCCCTCCCTTCCCTGTTGTGCCGCCTACCTCTTTGTAGCTTGGCCGGGCGGCGCGGACCGCGTTCAGGAGCCTTGAGAGAGCACTACCTTTCAGTCTGGCCGGGTACAGGAAACAGAACTCATGTACCGCGGTCCGCGCTGCCTGTCCACGCTACACTGAGTGACTGGCAGGAGGGAGCGCTGTGCACTTTCCTCCTGCTGGGTCACTCAAATCTTGCGCACCCCGGGTCGGTGCGCCCTAGGCGACTACCTAAGTCGCCTATAGGATGCGCCGACCCTGCATATTTAAGTGTACCAACATATTTAGTTGAGTATTTAAGTACAATTAGAGTCAGGGGAAAACACCATGCTCTACAGTAGTAGTGGCTAACACTCCTGATGGTGGGCGGATCATCGTGGGAATTGAAGATCACAAGGTTAGCTCACTGTTCTAGACCAAGGTTCTCCAAACTAGAGAGCCAGAGAGTCATTGTAGTTGTAGTTCAGCAACATCTGGATGGCCAGAGTTTATAGAAACCTGTCTTAGACTATCCAAATTCTGTTTTTCTATGTGAATCTCTCGCTCTACACAGATCTTGTTGTTGCTTTTTTCTTTACAGGTTAATATAATAACTACAGTATCCGCTGCCTCAAGCACATAAAGTCCATATTAAGACACACTTTATTTTTTTCAATGTGAATTTATTTTGGCACGGATTGCCCAAAGCTCTGTCAGATGACTGGTGCAGTAGTGAAAGTCTGCATGTGTGAAGCTAATACAGTTCTCATCAAAGAAAGGTTTCATTCAAACGCACAAGTCTATTGGAACATTTCAATCCTAGCATAAAATGTGGCATTTATTTATGGAATGGCAAGTTTTTCCACGTCCTAAAACAGCGAATCCACAAAGCTATCTGATTCGCTGTATGTGTGTTTACGCATACATCATTGTATTGTAAATATATATATATATATATATGAGTTTGAATTTTATTCTAACATTTGTGTATGTTGAAGAAAACATTTTCAATAAAAAAATATAAAAAGAGTTTATATGCTTCAAGCGATGGTGACTACCGTAACTAACATGTATTACTATTACACTCTGTAACGGGTTCACCTTTCTTGTCCCACACAATGTCTTGGAGAGAAATTGTTACCAACAAACTCGTGCTACTGTATTAAACTCCGATGTTTTGTGTGTAGGAAATCGTCCCTTCTTTTATAAAACAAGAATAAGCAACTATATTACAATATTTTCTGAAAACAGCAGTAATAAAATTTCATACACAAAAGTTTTAATATATATTTATTTATTTATTTATTTTAAAACAAGTAAACGTTACAAATGGAAAAAGTAGAGTAATTATAGAATATAAATGCTTGTCAGAAAACTAAATACAATATAACATACCAATCTTAGCTTCAGTATCTTTCCACAGAGGTCAATGAGAAGATATGATCCAAACTGTTTATACATAAGATTCCTTATAAAGACTAGTAATTTTTTAATGCTGATACATTGGAATATTGGATATGTAAGTTAATTATGCTAATCAACTTATGCTAACTTAGGCTAAAGCAAATATGGTGTTCTACGTAAGAGCGTAATGATCTAGTCATTGTACTGAAGTAACAGTTAAAGTTAACCTTCCTAAGCTAATTAGAAAACAAAATGTGCTTCGTCAGATAAGAAAATATTTTGGCTTCTTACAAGTCAATGGTAATTCTCAGGAACCGCAAGAAGATTCTCGGACCTTGTGTTCGCTAAACTAACTACAAATGTTGATATACATCATTAGAACAAGCGTGTGAAAGTGTTCGGCTTACATAGAAAGG